ACCAACTTCTAGGGTTTAGGGTTTAGGCTTTAGGGTTTAAGTTTAGGGTTCGGGGTTCAGGGCTTACGGTTCAGGGTTTAGGGTAGAGGGCTTAGGGTTTAGGGTAGAGGGTTTACAAAATCAATTATCATCTTCACCAAGCTTTCGTCTCAACTATACGATAAATCAATGACCTTCCTCGTGACTAACAAGCCAAAAAACGGCAATAAAGCCAACGTTGGGCTTCAGGCAGCTCTCTCAAAGCTACATCTCGGAGGAGAAGCCATGGCCAGCAAGAGCAGGAATCCGAGGGTTTGGGGCTCCTTTGAGGGTGTAGGGTTTAGGGTATTTCTGCTTAGGGTCCAGTGTCCGGGGTGTAGGGTTCTTTGGTAGAGGCTAAAACTTAAGGCTCTTTTTTTGAAAGCATTTGCTGGTGCAAGGCTTGAGGGCTTCGGGCTGTGAGATCTAAGGTTTGGGGCTCAGAATTTACAGCTTCGAGTTTAAGCTGTCGTTTAGGGATTAGGGATAAGGCCGGGGGGCGTTTCAGAGCATCAGAATTCAGAGACTGCGGAGGGTTTTCCGCGAACTTTCTGCAAATGCGCTTCTTGCAGGCTCCGCTTGCTGAGACCCCGATACTATAGAGGCCTTAATAATCAGAATAGGGTTTGGGGCCCATTATACTGCAATTAATAAGGAACCCCCAAAATACTATAGGTGATTATTATTATGGCCCCGACATGAACTGGTTCTTTAGGGTGTCAGAGCTTGGAGATTGCAGCTGCTGCTTCCAGGTTTGACGGCTTGCGGTTTTTGCAGAACTTTGCCTTCTGGCATGTGGGTAGTTCTCTAAATTAGGGTCCCTTTTAGGGTCCTTTCTATAAGGGTGCCGTACCACATTGACGACCTAAAAAGGAACCCTAATTTACAGAATTACCCATGTAGGGTTTGAGGATTTTTGCTTCAGGTTTTCGAATTGCAGGTCGAGCAATTCGAACCAATGTAGGGGCCTTAATAATTAGAATAAGGTTTAAGGAAACCCCAAATTGATATAGGTGATTATTCAGGCCCCTAAACCCTAAACCCTAAACCCTAAACCCTAAACCCTCCCTACCCTAAACCCTAAACCCTGAACCCTGAACCCTAAACCATTCTAGGATCAAAACTTTGGGTGACATCTCGGGGCACGGAGGCGCCGTGCAGGTCTGGGCCATAGGCTCTCCGCCGCATCTTGGCGTCGCCGCCACTGCCTTCTGCCTGGCAAGGCTTAGGGTTTAGGGTTT